ATAAATTCGTCACGAACATCTCGTGTTATGTGGGATAGTCGACCATCGTACGGCGTAATGTATCTCGTTCATCACATGTACAAATGTCGTACAGATGCGATATTCGCGAGCGCAGCAAGCCAGAAGTGATGTATTTCACACTCTGTTTATTTTGCACTGTTTACAGATAATCCGGAAGTTCAAAATAGCCCAAGGTGTAGTCAAAGGATCTATTCTATCCCAATAATAATCCCAAACTACTATTTTCGCTTATGCACGGATCAGTAGACTTGTTGCAATCAAAATACAAGACAGTAGTTTCCCCAAAATCCCAAACACGCATGTGAAATTCGAGTCCAAATTTAATTGCAAAAAACGTATATTTTTTTATTTATATTTATATTTATTTTTATATTTATTATACATATTATTTTTTATGATTTTTTTTTCATTGATTCTCGGGGATTACTTTTTTTCGGCAAAAATACCGAGTTCACTGATCAGTGATTTTTTAAGAAATTTATGAAAAAAACGAATGGCTTCTCGAATTCAGAAAAGAAAATAGGTAATAAAATAATATTCAAATAACTTAAAAAAATTTTAATTGAATGGCATTTTAACAAAGACAAAAAAAATCTTATTTTACAAAAATTTTAAAATTACAATGAAAACATGAATTTTTTGACAATTCTGATAAGAAAAGATTTCGATTTGTATTTATTAGTTAAAAATACTGCCATTAAAAATTAATCAAGTAGGTATAATATCTTCTTATATATTAATTATGTTATTAATAATATAAGAAGATAATTATGCAAATTAATCATAAATAAAGCGATCAGAAAGATAATTTTCTGACAGATAACAGCTCTTTGAGCTGTTTTAACAGATGCAACCGCAACTGACGCATATTCACGAAGGTTACTCATCAATCATAACCAGGTTATTCAATTAACTGGGAAACGTAGAGTATGAGACATATCGGTAGTCATTTTTAATTGGATTACTGCGTTATGAATTTCGGCTTTTAAAATGTAACAAATTGCATAATATCGATCTCGATTAAAAAAGAAATTTATATATCAAATTTGATCCTCAATGTAGGAAAATAATTTTTTTTAATTACAGCTCTTATAACCTACTACGTGGCATTGGGAGTATAACAAGTAGCATAGATATTACTCGATAGCATTCATATCATTAATCGTAAAAATAATTCAAGCGAATTTAAACGACATATTATGGAAGCCGACGTATAATTACTGGCGAATCGAGATTAGTCAAGATCAAAAACATTTTATGAATAATTACCTATTTTGTTGTTTTAATCGACTGTCTCATTTTATTTATAAATAATATAAATAAATAATTCATTTTCCAAAGATATATATATATATATATATATATATATATATATATATATATATATATCTTCCTATCTAGCTACAATAAAATAATGATATATAAATATATTAAGAATTAAATGAAATTTTATCTTTAGCATGACATTTTCATAACGACGATAAAACGATTATCAATGCGCTAATCTAGAATCGCGCAAATATCACGAGTGAAATTTTTATAGAGCTACATTTTTTTACGTTACGATACTATTGCAGAAGGATATAATAATATTTCTGCAACCGCAATGCGGTAGCTTGTAATTTCGAGATAATGTTATCCGAGTAATGTTATCGTTTACTCGACAAAAATGACGTAGATGTCCAGCAAGGATAATAATGAAATTGAGTTTTCGTACTAAGCCAATACGTGACAAGAATAGTCTTTACCCCAAAAGCCGGTCGGACTTTCGTAAGGCGAAACAGGTTTTCCGCTACTCCTCGCCCAGAGGATTCGTTCCAATGGTACATCTACGCACTTAGAGAGTAGGCAACCCTTGTGTATAATACAACACACTTGTTGCTCCATTCGACGAGGGCAACGTTCGAAAAAAGCCTTGCGAGGGGAGATAAGTCTGCCTATAATCGATCTAGTCTATGCGAAGTTCGGAATATTCTGAATCAGCTCTCGAGAGAACTATGAATCATATATTCTTTTTATCCTGAAATAAAAGTCCAGCAAAATCCCCAACGTATAAAGTTCTGCTGCTCTAATGCATTTTTTTTATGGCAGCTAAAAACATTTTTATATCATAAACTAATTCAGCACAAACACGTATATGATTTTATGTTTCACATAAATATTCTTATTCTTGCTGGTTCATATCGCTGCGTCGCGCGCGCGCTTAATCCTTTGCTACGAGATCCACGTGTTTTTAAAGATCACTATTTCTAGAATTATTCATGGGTTTATCGCCCCATTCCTATTCGGTATAAATAAATCATGCCTATAAAATTCTCGTTTTAGTCGCTGTACGAGCTGTAATCGTGGTATTAAGCGCATGTTCACGTCGCGGGACTCTCGTCTATTTGTGCAAAACTATGCATCTGTATAATCTCTAGGCGAAAATATCGCGGTACGCCGAAATATGGCATGCAACTGCAATAACTCATCGCCGAATCGGGAATGCACTTCGTCATCCGCGGCTTAATTTTCAGCCGAATTTACGAGTCACGTTTTCACGCTCTCACATTTTAGAGCCTCGCGCGGGACGAGTTTTTATTCGTCCGATGAAAAGAAAGTTTCAACGGGATGTGTTTCTAAAAAGTGCGCTTCGCATGAAACGACACACGTATAGACTGTATTATATAGTCCGCCTTTCATACACTTTCGCACACTCTATTGCTGATGCGTAGCAAAAAAACATATAAAGTCCAATATCTCTTCAAATCAATTTTCAGGCTCAATGAGAAACAAACAATCGTTCATCGCGTTTCTTTTTCTTATGATTGAGAAATCTAAATCCTATTAATCCTGAAACTCAATTTTTGTCATTAGACGTCACGTAATTTCACTTGTTTACGTTTAAATCTAAAATATCTTCTCAAAATTAAAATTTTAATTAGATTATCCTTTTTCGTAAAATCTAATTAAGATAAATAAATCTAAAGTAACCGTGATTAAAGATTATCGAAGGGAGTATGAAAATTAAAATTAAGTAAGACACTATAGAAAAGCAGAGTATTAAAAAAGGTACGTGGGAGTTGATGCATGATCCATAGACGACATGGCGGGGCTTATAAATTTCCCACGAGAATCTTCGCGGGATATATAGTTGCCATAAACTACTATGGCAACTTTGATAGTTTCGTCGGATAAAAGCGACCACATGCAGGGCCGCAGCGACATCGGGGGTTGCATGCAGCGTTAATCGGACGTAACCGCTTTACGCTGGAATTTGCAGCCACAATGACGCTAGGTAACCTGACGCAGTTATTATCGTATTACGCAGTATTTCGATCGATGAAGATTGAAAGCCCTAAAATTGGGCCGCACCGCGGCGATTCGGTAGGCGTCAGTGTGAATTAATGCGTTTTATACGCGGACCGCGCGTGTCGTTCGGGCCGATTATTCCGCGGTAATGTTTGCCTTTATGCGGAATTGGTATCGACGCTATATATCGCACGTGATTGCTAATTAGAACCGCGACTCCATAGAGGCGCATTGCTTGCGGGTAAACGTGCGGGAATCGAGAATCGAGGATTTAGCGTGTTTCGGGTCGCGCGCGACTTAACGAGTTCGCGTAAATAAAGCAAGCACAGAGTGGAACGGCCTGTTGCTCGTAAAAAGCTAATACTTTAATTTCGGCAACAGGCAAAGCGCACAGTCGATCGTATCTTCCGTACTCTTTTGCAAGCTAAATGAGAGAGAAAGTTAGCGTACGAAAAACGTTTGAAAAGAATTTTCCTGCTTTTCGAACGAACGGCTCTACGAGCATACGTTCCCATTAATTGCCACGAGCGATTATGGTGGAAAATACTGAGATTTTATTTCGCTTTCGATCTTGCAATTTCACGAACAATAAATATTCCTTGCATAATAGAGGGAGATTAATGATTTATTTAATTATTTAATTAGACAGCGGCCGTTCTGTTATCTTTATACATGTACATATTGCACGTGTTGAATTTTACCTGGGCAACCAGCCAGGATTCGCGATATCGCCCGGTCGGCGAGATTTTAATTGCATGTACATCCAGAAAATGCATCGTATATGTGTGTATAAGAGCGTATATATACGTATATCCGGGCATATCGCGTGAACCTTAACATCGGAGAAATGTTCCGAGTGCAGCGCGGATAATATTTTTATTTCAATATTTTTCCAGATATAAATTTTCTGCGGGAATATCGCACATGTTATGCCACATACTCAACTTTGACGAAACTATTCAATATTAATAAGGTATGTCCCCGTGGAGGATGTACATTGACATTTCCCTAATCGGTTGCGGTCTGATCTAAGTGTACCCTCCGAATAAGCCACGTGGGCGAACACGAAATGTACCAGCTTAATTTAATTGCGCCCACCAATCGATACATTAATCAACCGTGTGTAATCCACGTCCATCAGTTTACGTCTTGCAAACTGAAGTTTCCTCGATAAACAATATACTTGTTATCGAGTGTATCGGATCATACGGGCGGCAGTGATAGGATTATAACGCGTAGTCAATATTCGAATTCATAAATTCGCATTCGTGTTATCTATTTCGCGCACGTGTCTCTGCCTTGTTTCCTACCATTGCTGCCGCGAAATTGGACTCGATTTTACATACTTAAAACCACATACGGCACAAACAAATCACAATTTCACGTGTGTCCACAACGTGAAGTTACAAATGATCGCTACTTGTCTCGATCGAAGACAATTGTCGAGTAACATTTTTTCGGTAACATTTTGCATGACATACTTTTGCACAAAACAAGACAGATCGTTTACCCGAAAGATATATAATCATAAAGAATTGAAATTATAATCTCGATTCGAAGCGAGACGGCGAGCTCTAGCTGGCTCGTTTCGCCAACAATGGGCCTTCCGACTATAATTTTCGTTCAGCGAAACTGAACGTAGAGTCAATCCCCGACGAATCAATCCCCGAATCTTCTTCTCGAATCAGATGCCTTCCTGGGTCCCGTGTGCGATTACGTGATCGCGCCCGTGGCCAGATACGCGGGTGTATGGGGAATACCCGTGTTGACGGCGGGTGCGCAGGCGGAGGCGTTTCGTCACAAGGGCGAACATTATCCGACGTTAACCAGGATGATGGGATCTCATCGTTTGGTGGGCGAGGCGCTCAGACATATCCTGCAGCGTTTCGGATGGAAAGTCGCTGGTCTACTGTTCCATAATCACGAGATGGCCAGCAGCAGGGGTAATTCCGAGTGCCACTTTACGTTGAGCGCTGTATACACGGCGCTCAATCAAACTCCGGTGCACAAGAGCTTCAACCAGGAGGCAACCACCGCCGAGGATTACAGGAACTTGCTCACCTTCGTCACGAAATCCGCACGGAGTAAGTTTGCCCGATGATCACGACGTAATCGATCGCGATTTTTTCGCGTTTTTCTCCAATCATTGATTTATGTACGTACACAACCTCTTGATCGCGGGATTCTTCTGATTTTTCAAAAGAGAATCAGTATGTCAAATGTCAGTGAAAGTATCAGGAAACTTTCTATAAATATTTATAATGTGCTCTTACTCGAAATTGCTGAAAATGAGAGATACACGAGTGTGTATTATTATGTAGGTATTAAATGCGCACACGTAACACGCAACAAATTATAACCAATCTATTTTGGACGGGAAATAAAGGTTCGTGGCATATTTTGATTTGCAAAAATAGAAATGTAACTCTTTCTGCATGCGTAAAATATTAAAATATACATATGAAAAATATATTTAGAGTATCAACCATACCTATGTATGTAAAACAGATATTTATTAAAAAGGATAAAAAGGATTCAGAATATTAATGAATGTTTTTTTTTTTAATTATAGAATAGTAAAAGAGGGAAAAAAATCCATGTTAAATTTTTACATATAAATTCTCTTAAAAATTTAAAAATTATCATACGTGTAACGGGATTTTTATTTATTTAATTTTTCTTTCAAAAAAAGAAAATTTATTATGTTTCACGTCAATTCTTTTCTTCTATTATTATTTTGTAATTTATATAAAAAAACTTTTATTGATTTAAAAAACTTTCTGCAATATACGAATATATTGCAATATATGCAATATACGAATTTAATTCATCGGGAATTACATCGCGTAGTTAACGTAGTTACGTATTGTTTTCTGCTTCGTGTAGACTTTGCATAAATCAATCAGCTTTTATAGAAGTCGTCGTAGCGTGTAATGTTTAGCGTTTAACACCGCTAAAGGACAACGCGTTGTGAAGCCGGGTTTGATAGTCCACAAACGGTGAACTTCGACACCGTCATTTAATTGATATCGTTTACGAAGTTTGCCTCTACAAGTGCGCTGCTTGCGCTATTACTCATTGATCGCGTTTAACACTTCAAACTCGTCAACCAAGTTTACACGCATTATTCCAACATTAAACAAATTTCTATTATAACAACTTCATCCTGTAGACGACGCGCAATCGGCATTCCAAGAAAGTTCCATCGACACCGCTTCTGAATAACAACGCGCGCGTATTTGCGATTAGTATATAATTAATTAATTATTTTACAAATAATTGATTGCTATTGAAAATTAGATACATGTAATCAAATGACGAGTTTTCCCACACGTAATCAATTAATTTAATATATCCAAGCGCGATGTTGCGATGATCGAGTTGTGTCATAAATCTCATTTATCGAAATGTCATATTTCGCGAGCAATTCTCTCTCACGATATTGCATTGCAGGTTTTCTATTCCTATTTTTTTTCGATTCCTACAAGTAAAGCTATATCTTGAAAATTCCTTCACACTCATTCCTCATCGCTCCCGACGTGTTCAAATCGTTAAATCGCGTTACAAAGAGTTTACGGTAGACTTATCCTCAATAGGAGTGAAACAAGCTGCAGAGAGTTTCGTCTCTTCGATTTGATGCTATCCGTATATCCGTTGTATTTTTTACAATTTACATTTACAATTTCCAAAATGATGAAGCAAATCTTTTTGACCTAATTACTGAATAATATTTTGAATTTATCAATTGTAATATAAAATTGAAGGAGATTATTTCCTTTTTCACGATCGAGGATATTTTATAAAGAGCATGTAAAAGAAATAGCTTGTTAAGGGAACTAAATTAAAAAAATTTCCATTTTTCCTCGTGCGTATAAAGAATAGATCTTTGAAAATAAAAATAAAAAACACTAATGGAGTGAAGAAAAAATTGTGTATTTAAAATGTTGTTTTATATTTTCTATAAATTCTTTCTAAATTATCAAATAAATTATCAATATTTAATTATTAGATATGCAGCGCCGTCAAATTACTACATTGTCGTCCCTAACAGCCATGTCCAAGTACGATAATCTCTTGGAATTCGTAACCTGTCGAGATGCCAACACCAATTTCCAATTTCCGAGAAGTTGACATTAAGTCAAGAACGTGGCGCATTGCATCTCGTCACTAATCTACGCTGAATTACTAGCGAATGCCATAAATCGTCGATCGATTGAAATTCTTAAAGTTCCGATGCATTTACCAAAAAGAAAAAGAAATGATTTAAATTCTTATTGAATTTTTGTAATTATCCGTTTCGTGAAAAAAGCGATGATTCAGTTTCGCGTTGTTATCGAATTCTCAAAAATGCTAAAAATAATATCCGAAACAATAGGATGATCCGATAACAGAATATCTGCTTAGTGTAGATTAAATATTAATCTCGACGTATTGTGCAAAACAAATGTTTAGTCTCAGCGTTATTCGTACAAGATACATTTCTGCTTATCGTAGGATAAAAATATTTATTTCACGTTGTATGCGTTATCAATATCGCGATAGGATATTTATCAAACGTTTTGTGTAAACAAATCGTAATCGTGTACATGAATATACAATGTTTTTGCATGTTTGATTCATTTATCTATCTTTAAAATATTTTAAATTATTTTATGTTTAAAATATTAATAAATTAGTATTGATTAGAGCATTAATAAATTATTTAGTATTATTAAATTATTAATAAATTAAGACTTTTTTATTATTATGAAATATTACACGTGGCTAGTAATAACATATGACATAAGATATCAAAAATATTCCATGGCAATTCTATTTTTCTCTCTTAATATTTACATTAAATTGTATTAATCATCAACAGATGTTAATTACATTAACATAAAATGATCTTATTTTTTTATATCTCCTTTATGATTAAAAAATTACAATTTACGTCATATTTTACATCTTCCTCTTCTTTTGACATTTATAATATATTAGTAAAAAATTCTTTAAAAATTATATTAATAATATAAGATATAATGTCCAATATTCCGATGTCGAAACATTATCCAAAACGTTATGATTTTAAACTTCCGATTATAATTATTCAATTTTCTCAAAAGGGATGCGAAGCAAGTGTCTGTTGTCAGTATTATCACGTTATCGTGTCGAGAAACAAAATTACATGACGAGTTTAAGTCTATTCGAACGGCTGTCTTGGATACCGCGTGTCTACGAATAGGCGAAGGCGAAAGACGAGCTATAAAAGAGAAGTAAGAAGATTCGATCTATGTGATAATGAGGCTATTCCCGGTATACAGACGTGCAATGTAACATCGATCCACCCATTTTACTCGCATCGGCGGCTGATCCGAGCCCGGCTCGCCTTTTCGTTTTACGCCTCGACTGCTTTTTACTGCCGTTCAGATTCTCAATCGATGTAAAGCATCACGCTTTCAATAGGTCGAACCGATCGTTCATCACGTTATTTTCGACGCATCGTGTATACGACTTTGAAATTGATTTTTATCGCGACTTTATTCAACAATTGTTTAATCAAATTTCTTCACCTTGTACCGGATAATGTCCTTTACCTAATTAAATTTGCCTGCCTAGATCTCGAAGATCTAACGGGAAAAGAAAGTGCCTTCCTTATGCTTTCAGTCGTTTAAAAGATACTTTTTACAGTATTGCAATTAATTTCTATAAAAAACGAGACTAACGTATCTCATGATTTACCAAAATTCTGAAAAAAAAAACACTACACTAAATATATAAGATTTTATATAATAATATTAAATGTCTGGAATTGTGTTATAATTTTGAAATTTCCAATTATGGAAGAATTTTGGAAAAATTATCCGAACTCGAGAAAAATATTGGCAATTCATAAAGTCAACCTTCGATTATTATGCAACAAAAAATAAAATTCTCCAGAATTAATCTGCATGAAAAATCTGAATATGCGAATAAGAGAGAATGCGCCGCAGAATGTCACACTATCATCAATATTCACCAGAATAATTTAGCGTATAATTCCATTTGCAATATTTGTATATACCTTATCGAGAGACATTAGACATTACATTAGAGCTTTCTATTGTCATTCGTTGCCATCTTAGGCCAATCTATCGTAGTTTGACGTATTCCACTTTAGTGCGTTCTCTCGTAACCATATTTCCGGCTAATCGAACCGTCTTAAACGTCACGTCGGAGTGAAGAAATATGGCTAGAGCGTGTAAGCTCCAACCGACATCGACGTCTTTACGTCGACGAAATACCTGTGCTCACAGGATAATGGAGAGAACTTTACTCCTTTGTATCGCGTGACTCTTGTTAGTCGTCGTCATCGGCGGAAGCTACGGCGGCGTTAAACGAAGAGCTGTCTCTAATGAGAAACCGAGTAGAATCGACCTGTAATAACGCAACGATGACGTCGTTTCGCGTCTTACTGCATCTTCGCGTTACGAGACAATATGTTCTATTCGCTCGCTTTGTTTCGAGAATAATGTCCTAATACAAAATGCGACGTTCTATAACGTTGATTCGCACAAGATATGCGAATAAATGACACGCACGAAATTATATTTGACGATAAAATTATATTTGGATAAAATGAAGGAATTTCATCGATAAATTAGTTGTTGACAAAATATTTCAATCAAATGGAATTAAAACAAAACGATTTTTTCGTATTTTTACAATCAAGCTTTCGAATTACGTTAAAATTTGCAGCAATTATTTTCTTCCCACAAATTATATTTATAATATTTTTAAATATTGCTTAAACGTGATAAATATTCGAATTAAAGGAAATTATTCCTGCAAATTTAACGCATTAATAAAATAATAAATTTTATGGAGTCCCTCAGTCTTTATCTCTCAGGATTTCCATGTCCCGAATTGTATCCTGATTCAACGTTAGAGACGTATGCGAGAATTGCACCGATTAATGGCGCATATTTAACTTGTCATAAAAGCGGTATTATGACTTTGCTTGGATAAACGTTTATATCTAGGTTGGCACGTTGCGGTGCAATGTTACGAGCCGCCGCGAACTATTTTGTAAAAGCGCATTTTGTGTCTCGTGAGGATCAAGACATCTGCGAAATGATTTTATAATCCATTTATCAGTTTTCCAATAATTCTCAGACATGTTGTTTGTCGCAAATATTTAAAATACATAAAATATTAGAATAAGTTAAAATTTATCCCCACAATATATATTTTATTCTGTTGCTTGAAATTATAAGAAAAAATGAATATTATTGTTTTTTATAATACATAACTGTATATATAATATTTTTAATAAAGACAGCTTTTACTAGCAAAACAATTTTTTCGTGGTACACTCAAAAATATATATAAACACAAACACATATGTACAACATATAACTTTATAGTATTGCGAATCACATAACAATTTTGCGAACAGTTTTCTAAAATACTAGACATTTATATAAGTAAGTCAATTCTTGAGAATGTCATAACTGAGTCGTTTTCTCTCTTCGAAAAATTCAAATGGTCAATAAAATGGATGATGAAGATAAACCTGAGCGTAGATTTTATTTAGATTTTTTGTGGGGCGTAAAAGTATTCTCTGAAAGGGCAAAACAAAAGAACATCGCAATTATTTCTGATTCATATATTCGCAGAATCGATTTGTGTAATATCTTTAAGTATTATTTCTCTAATTTTATGACAAAAACAAAATTAATTACAGAAGTGAAAATCGTACTGATGTTAAGCTTTCCAGCTATCCTTTTAACAAAATTTGCATATTTTTAATAGAAATTTTCTCCTCATGAGGGGAATTTTCTCCTCATTCTCCCCAATTTTCCCATTTTATGAAATTCTGGTAAATAACTTTACACGTTCTTTGTCGACATGTGGAGGGAATGTCTGAAGAATTTCGACAGTAATCACAAGATTTTCTAGATTTGTGCCGGATTTTATATTTTTCGATATAACATGGAGAACATTCATCTATCCGCGATATCTTAAGCACATATGAAATTCAATTTGACAAGAAGATACGTGTCTTCACGGAGAAGATTTGCGTGAAAGAAATAGAGAATACTTGAGTGTTAAACACCAATACAGAAGTGATTACAAAATATATACTGTATATTACAGTATATATTTTACTTTAAAAAGAAATGATAATCGAAATTCCCCCGTTTCTCTCGGTATACATTTCCCTGAATTTCGCGTTGAACCCGTTGAGCTTAAGCCAAGTTGAGCTGGGATAAAGATGTCGAAGCACAATATATGACACCGATTATAGATCGCTAGACTTAAGCCTTACAGACAATATTGTTTGTTATCTTTCTGTTCTCAGACAGCGTGTTTTGTAATATACGGAATTTGATGAGATATGTACGAAAAGAATGGTTTTGCTAAAGCGCATAAAATTCCGCTAAATACAGATTAAAAATTAATTTTGTTGAACCATCAAAGTAATTAGAACACTCAAATTGGTTGCTAAAATATTGTTGCAGTAATGCTTTAATGTCATGAAATTTTTAAATTCTTCTGACTCTCTCTGTACAAGTGCATCAGTGGATAATCACTCGTAAACTGTAACTCCTAGCAAATAATCGTTATATCTATATTAATTTCGATGATTATATAATTAAATTAATTACATAAAAATTATATATAAAAAGCTCATTTTTCTGTTAACTGTTTTTAATTTATATTTGAAAAATGAATATTATGCATTACAAAAAATTATGAAATTCCTCATAAACATGTAATCTTTTTTAGATATAAGAGTTACATCTGCTTAGAAATAAACCCTACCGTTATATACTTTTTACATTAAATAAGAAGTTATAAAGATATTAACTTAATTACTCTCAAAGATACAAAAATATGTTTTGATTGATCATTTATTCTAGTATAGTTGCATCAATCATTTAAAAAAAAAAATACTCTTGCGAATATGCGAACATGGCGTGGGCCTGTGTATCTTCAGATAAAATTAAGTGGATACACACTACGTCACATTCGTATGCGGCGAAGAGTGGAAATGTAAGTGATCGAACGCATATCGCAAAGTGGTTCGACTGCGGTAATATTTATATAGGTTTCAACGTATCTACCAAGAAATCATTTTTTTTTCTCTCTATTTTAGTCGTGGTGATGTGCGCTAATTCAACGACTATTCGGGAAATATTGCTGGCTGCCGAAGAACTGGGGATGGTGGACTCAGGGGAGTACGTGTTCTTCTCCATAGAGCTCTCTTCCAGGTAAGTGGAGTAAACTTGCAATTTTATCATCAAGAGTAATTGCGTGTGTTATTTCTTGTACGTAGCGCGTTATTGCGAAGGCTTCATACGGAGTGAAAAGTAATAAACATGCGAGCGAATAGGCAAATGTAATATATCATATAAGCATTCAAATAAAATGGAACGAGAGATAGTTTTCGTATATTATAAGATAGTTTTCGTATATTTTACAATACACGCACAAGATAGAGAAAGATAGAGAAGAAAAAATTCATGCTTATTTGAAAGAATAAAATTAATTATAAATAAGCACATAGACGCATTTTATTATAGAAATTTAATTATAGAAACTTTTCTACGTACCATTTGTTTCCTTTCTTAATTTTTCTCTTTTTGACTCGCAAAAAATCTCATTTAAAATATTAAAAATGTTGCTTATTATATTGTTTAATAACTGTGTAGTCATGAAATATTATTTGAGATATCATGTGCCATAAATCATGCTTATAACGCACGAAATCCGCAAGAACACGAGTCGCACGTCAAAAAACTAGGGCATAAACAGTAGGGTGCTTGTACAATAGCACACGACTCGAACACTAAAGCTGTTTTATAATTGAAAAGAATGTGAAGTCGTGCCCGGTACATACACGGTCATAAAGAAGGAAAATTGGCATGAAACACAAAGCGCTGTCTCTTACCATGTAACCATGAAGACAGGACGAGATGAAATGAGAAAAGATTAAAATGAAATCTGACGATGATTGAAATATAATATGTGTTTGTTATCTACACATAGAGAAAAGATTATTCCTTATTTGTGTAAACCAAGTACGTGCGAGTACGAGTTTCTCTATGAAAATGTTTATGTATAAACCTAATAAATCTTCCATGCTATTTAATTTATTTTCAGCAAGCGATTAATTATTACGCTTAAATAAATAACAACTTCTACAATTGTTTAGAACAATATATCAATATTAGTTTAGAACGTAATATGGTTAGGATAAGGGAATTGTATTTACTTTGCTCGTTCGCCTGCTAAAAGATGTTTTATACTATCGGAAGTTAAGTTTTAGAGTCTATTTAAATAATTTATTCCTTGCCACATCGTTGACGTAGTCAACGTGGCGTGATTGCGAAGCAGTTTGCTTAGAGAACGTACGTTTACCTACACGATTGAGAGTATTAATGCCGTATACTGCGCTCACATTCACAAAGAGACTGCCTGACATGCGACTCATCGATCCGATCTGTTCTTTCAACTACTTTTAAAGTAGTCGAGCTGTATACCCGTCGACTTTGTAAGCGAAAAGACATCCCTTAAATATTAGAGAGAAATTTGACCGATGAGTGTAAGCGTGTCAGACAGCGTTAAATTTCCCGTTTGTTCAAAGAACGGGTCGTACGGTCGCGTTGTTTAACGAGGCCTTGAAAAAGAAACTTGCAGAAAATTGCTAATTCCGAAACATCGTAAACGTAACGTAGCACGTAGTGATTCTTCGCGATCGTAAGGAACTTACGATCGCGTGAAAATCTTTGCAACGCAAACATGTTTGTTCATTTCGTAATCTTATTCGGGCGATAGCGATACCTTGTCAATTTCCGATCGAAATTGGAAAGTAGAAAAAAATATGATATAAATTGCGCGTTATAATCCCCCTGTTACGTCATAGAGAAGTATCTGTTTCTGGGAAACAAAACTATTGTATTCGGTATTCCCATCGCTTCATTCTTTGTTTCCCTGTGGCTCTCGTTAATAAAGGATATCGCGTGATTTCGGGTCGAGTGGAATTCAATCCGTCGTATCGGAAACCTCAAACCGCAGCCCATTCATTTAGATTATAGTCGAGTCAAAGTGGACACAACCGTTAATCTATTGTAATCTCTAATAAAACTATTCATCATTCCGTCAATAACGATAGAATAAACCTCTTTCAGAAGGGAAAATAATCGATAAGCGAAAATTTTCGCACGAATTTAGTGGGATCGCGGTCTCCTAATTTTTTTTCCCTAAAGCAAACGATGAAAATCTGGTTTAACAGGATTTATATGAGTTTTAAAACGAACGCGGAATGAAGGTGATCTGAGCGTAGTTTGAGCAACAATTAGGGTTCTAGACTTCAACAGTAATTGGAATTTTTATTCATCAGTTTCTCCGGTTAGAGTTAATCCGACAGCCTTCCTTTAATAGCCGGTTCGTTGCAAATGTCAAAAAATGCCACGCGTCCTTTAAATTCACGTTCATTAGACAGAGAATCTTCATATCCGGCGATTTTCTCTCATATAATCTCGAACATCTCCGGCGTGTTCCTGTTCGTAGATTAGAAAATCGTGGAATTTCCAGAATGCCGAGCGAAGAAAACTTTCTGGTGCGAAATTTGAGATTGCTTTCAAACTATGCCTATGATTTATTTTCTCACCTTAAGCTCAAGAGAGACGTGCAAAACGCAGAAATAAAAAATAAACGAGCAAGCCGTCGATGCAAACGCCCACGGTGACGTCGTGTTTTTTCCGACATCACTTTATTTAATCACGCGCCCTGCAAAACGTTTCGTTGCCCGCAGAACATTACGGTTACATGAGAATTTTCGCGCCTTGTAATTCGAGTGTTACACGCGTTATGTATAGTACACGTTTGTGGCTTTTATATGTTCCAATTATAACATATCGAGCACCATAAAATGAAAGTTATGATCTCTGGTAACGATACGAAGGCGAAAAGCTGCTTGGTCACGATGCAGTTAAATAATTAATGTTTCACCAAAACATAAATTAATTGGGTCATATTTAACGTGCCGTTTTAACATCCATGATTCCGGGAATAATTTTCGGGAAAACTGAATATATATAATTGAAAAACGTCAAATGTTTTATAACATACATAAGAGAAACTTTATAAACTCAAAAAAAGAAAGAAGGTTTAGAGATAATAAAAAGTTAAAAAGTTAAAAGTTAAAAAGTTAAAAACAGTTTTAACTTTACATCTGGGATTAAATTTGTTATACTAATATTATATTTTTTACATACATGCTATAATATAACCACTTTTTCAAATTTATATTGCAAACTGCTTTTACTTATATAACATCATATCGACTTTAATAACGCCAAAGTAATGTTGAATAAAACGTTCTAAATAATTCTAAATAATTCTATAAAATAAAATGGGTAAAATATTTTTTCTAAAGCATATAAATACGCATGAATATTTTAGTCTTGTAACGACGACCCATATTATATATAGAATTTATTATTGCGAAATATCAAATAAACGAATATGTTCTAGCGACAATGATTCCAAAGAGCCATGGAAAGTCGAGGGCGATACCGACGAGAGAAACGAGAAGGCTCGAAAGGCTTATCAGGCCCTATTAACGGTGACAGCTCGCACTCCGGACAATCTAGAGTACCTGAATTTTTCGCGCGAAGTTAAAACCTTGGCTCAAAGCAAATACAACTTCATCTTCGGTAACAGCTCTGTTTCCACCTTCGTGACAGCGTTTTACGACGCTGTTCTGCTTTACGCCCTCGCCCTTAAAGAGAGTTTGCCGGAGAAACCGGGTTTGCCGGGTGAGGTCAACCTAGACGGCGGTAATCTGACCCGGAGAATGTGGGGAAAGAGTTTCAAGGGTAAGTTTCAGCTTCTCTCGTTTATCGTTGCTTATATTTATAGCAAAAGTCACTTGTGTCAGTCAATCGAACGCTTTAACGAAAATGACATTGGATAAGTAGATGGTCGTGAACGGGTCGCGAAGTTTTTCTAACAGTTTACAAAGACGTCTTCTTTTTAACGGTGAAAAATCGTGTTACGTATTATCGACAGTACTTATTGCATCAGCTTTCGTCGTACCGATGTATTATTGCTTGTAATCGCACTGTTTGCTTGGTCGAGTAAAGCTGTAGCTGTAGTGAGTATGAGAATTGATGTTGAAAAGGGACCAATGATTTCATCAGATGCATAATAGTTAAATATATTGTTGTTAATCAGAAATGTTTTGATCAAAATAACCAAGTAATTGATCATTGCCGATGAATTGTCATTCACAAAGATCTGTCATTGACACAGCTATGGTTTTCCAACTTCTATAAGTAATCCAATCAATTTACATACGTGCATGTGTATGTGCATATATACGTATACATATATATATATATATATATATATATATACATATAATTATTTTCATTAAACTATCAATTTGCTTGACATTTGCAAGCTATTGACAATTTGACAAGTCACCAAAGCACATGATTTTCATAGTTATAATTCGAAATAAATCCGTGCCAAGCGAGAGAAGTAGCACGGAAAAGAAAACTTTGATACAAGTAACATATCTTTTTTAAGATAGGATAAATTCTTCAGAAAGCGAGTCCTTTCTTTGAAAATGCTTTTGCATGTAAATAAATTATATTACTAAAACATTTGTCGATTTGGCTTTATATTATTTTACCTCGCAATATAAGAATGCAAACAATATCTCTTCACTTTGACTTTATTATTCAAGCAAAAATCTTTGAGATATGACTGCCTTTTATTCTCTTATATACGCTCAAGTTTCGCCTCAATTGTCGATCCTTGATTTTTCCACAAGAATTTTAAAACTGACATACCCAGCATCGGATGGAATGCAAAAGATTGTCATTTTGCTTTGTCTTTTAATATGACCTACATTCTTGTTTCGCTACGTATTCCTCCTCCTATATGTAATCTTACAGAACATTGTGTTTGTTATCGATTATCTGAAATTGCAATCGCCTACGCGAGATTTTACCAGGCAGAAATGAAGCTTTTAATAATTTCCCAAATTGCCTATCACGTGTTATAATGTCAAACTTTGATTAAATCCCACCGAGAGAATAATCATAAATATGCAATTTCATTTTATTTTTACGTATGACCAATTCCAGGAATAACCGGTGACGTAAACATTGATGAAAATGGCGATAGAATCGCAGATTATTCTCTGCTGGACATGGACCCGGAAACGTCCAGATTTGAAGTAAGACACTTTCGAAAATTTGTAAATATTCTATGTCTAATTGTAAAATATACAATGTTACATAATATCTCACAACTAAAATATTTTAATTTATGATATTGTATAACGATAACAAATTTAATATATCAAGTTAAGATTGAGTATAAGATCGAGTACTGACAGTAATTATTTCTAATTTCTGCGTGTCATTTTACTCAAATCACATTTCCGTACTTATTTAATCACACCACACGGTTTTAATATTATTTTTATACAATAATTTCTCATAGATCGTGGCTAATTATTATGGCGCAAATAAAACATTGGAATATATTCCTGGAAAGCAAATTCACTGGGCTGGCGGTCGTTTAGAACCACCCCCGGATACGCCTACTTGTGGATTCGACGGGTCATTATGCCCCGATAATTGTGAGTGGGTAATGCTTTTTAATTTATAAGTATAATTCAATCTATAAATATATAAATAACTGAAAGCTGCCATCACATCTAGCGAAGAATAAAAATTATTGATTACTAGAAATTTCTGATATTCAAGTAAAACGATCGCAGAAGAATTTTCTTTTTTGTAATTGCATTCATGTAATTCTTTGCAATCTTTTCTAATACAAAGCCATTTTGCCTCTCTTTCTCTCTCTCTCTCTCTCTCTCTCTCTCTCTCTCTCTCTCTCTCTCTTTCTCTCTCTGTCTTGAATCAAAAAATTGAGAGAAGTTCTCTTTTCTGACCTATTCATTCCTCGAGACCCTAATCGAATGCGATAGAGCTTCTTCCCGCATCTGTCGAAGTTTTCCGTGCACATAGGATTACGAAAACTTTCACACTAATTTCATTTTCAATGTGATCGGGGATACGTCGCACAATTCTACTCGTATATATATCCGTTCCTCCTTGTCACGCTTGAATATTATAAAAATAGAGATGCAAAAGTGCAGTTTCTAAAGAAAAACCGAGTATCGTAAAAATATAACATGTAACTTTACAGCTTGTTTTGAAAGTAAACACACTTGTGATCTTATTCTACCGCGATTATGGTGTATAATAACTGAATGGGATGCAGCACCGCAGATGTATTTTTCTTGCTATCGCGCTCATCGAGGACGAAGAAACATCGCGAATTGAAACGAGGCAACCATGAGAGATGCAGTTTAGTTTTTTAATGAGACGCGCTCTCGTTGCGCGTTCTTCCAGCGTTTACTATTCACCGCAAGAACTTTGCGTTTCGTTCTCTTTTGACTGCTTTCATTTGAAAAAGCGAGAGTTACGTGTTGCATTTTTGTTTACCGTACTTAAATATATAAAGAAAAAAGTATATGTTTTTTTAAATAAAAGTAAGAAAAGAAAGTTGCTTGGTCTGTAAAATTAGAAATTTTTTTTATTTTCTTGTGTACCAATGCAACAAGAAACTTATGATTATTTGCGTCTTATTTTTAGTTGTGTTTGTAGATAATCAGTTTCCTCTCGCGTTCGCAAGTATCTTTTTAACAAAAATGGATTGTTTCACTTTTTCAATATTATTCGATATTATTTTATAATATTATATAATATAGTTTACAAGAAATGTGAATTCATATCCGCGCTTTAGAAAGCAGCTTGAATAGGTAATATTACGCGAGTGCATAATTATTACTGGGAATTATGAAAGAGATCTTTTATTAATCATGGGATTTAATTCAAGATATTCGAAAACGCGATAATAATTCTCAGAATCTTTTCAGTTTTAAAAAATAAAGGATAAGTGTATTTTAAGAGTATAATTTTTATTTGTTTCTTTTTTCATCATGAATCCTATATTTCGATATATTAATATATATATTTATATTTATATTTATATACGCAATACACAAAATTACCAATTAATCATTAAAAGTATAGAAAACATAACAAAG